GATGTACACCTTGCTGGGGTTGTTTGACCACAGTACTCTTTCCTGCCATGGCAGGGGATCGGACTAGATGGATCTGCTCAGGTCCCTTCCGACCCTAGAAACTATGAGACTATGAAACTTTGCCCTAGCAGAGCTGGTGTTGGCCGCGCGCTTTGTTTTTGTGAGATCTGGGATCTGCTCCAACCGGTTTCCCAGGTCCCATGTGCGTCAGGCGGTTCTTGGGAGGACACAGCTCCTGTGGCTGTCTATATCCCAGGGCTGGCACCGTCTTGCCAGCACTTGCTTGCCCCTGTACCACCTATGCCGGGTGCCAGCAAGGGGCGGCTGCAGGAGCCTCCCAGCACTGCACTTGCTGCAGAGGCTGGGGGGAGTGCAGCCCTTGCAGCTGCACCAGGGCTTCTGTGCGCCCAGAGCGCTTTCTCCGGGCTGCACCTGCAGGCCACGCACCTGTGTGTACATGCTGTGGCCTCAGGCCAGCACATGCTCACCTTGCTCCATCCTTCCAGCAGCACACTGGGGCATGGCCTGGAGGGGGAGCTCGGGCACAGGAGAGGCAAGGGAGGCGGTAGATTGGAGGCAGGTGTGCCATGGGGGCCACGGGCCCTAGCCAAGCACAGGATGCGGAGGGGTGCAGGGGGCTCTAGGGAAGCTCCCAGAGGGTGGGGTGGGGTGCTATTGGACATCTGGGAGCCGCTGGTGGGTGCCTGAGCCTTGCACTCTCCCTGCAGCAGGTGGGGGGTCCCCCGTGCCCCCTACCACTGACAACACCGCAGGGGCAGGCACCAGTGGAGCACCTGAACCAGGTACCGCTTTGCAGGCAGCGCCTGCTGCCAGTTCCTGGTGTCTGTCTGCCTGGCTCTGGGGCTTGCTGGGCTGTGTGGGCTCTGCCTGACACGGCTGCGGTGCGGCTGCCTGCTGTCAGCCCGGGTCAGCGCAACCCAGGCCCTGCCTGCCAGATGCTCTGTGCTGTGGTGGCCTCTCCCTTCCCCACCAGAGGCCAGTAGTGGCTGGTGGCTGGGGGGCGGGGGTGGGAGATGCGGTGGTGATGGGCTGTACTCCAGGTGCTACTGTGGGGGGTCTCATAGGGGCTGGGTTTTTTTGGGGGGGTGGGCAGGCAGGGCTTGGGTTTGCTGGTGGCTCTTCCATCCCCCACCCACCTCCTGCTGCTTTTGGCCCTAGCCCTGGCCCTGTGGTGGTGCTGGTTTCTTGCCCCCACCCTCCTTCTGTTCCCTGGATGGGGGAGCTTGGCTGTTCCTGATTCAGGGGTGTATGGGGGTCCCTGGGAGTTGTGGCGGGTGCCTGAGCCCTGCAATCTCCCTGCAGACGATGGGGAAGCTTCTGTGACCCCTGTCCCTGATGGCCGTGCAAGGGCTGGTGCTGGCCAAGGACTTCGACCAGGTACCACTTGCCCTGCCCATGCCCTCTCCTCTCTTGGTGCCGGCTCTGTGGGCGGGCAGGCCATGTGTTCGGGTCCCCCCGGGTGCTCTGCTGGACCGGGCTCTGGATCTCTGCGTCCTGGCTGCAGCAGAGGCACAGTGTCCAGTGGTCCCTGGCACTAGCAGGTTGCAGGGGTGGACTTGGCAAAGGCAGGGGCTGGCAGCCAGGGACCTGTTGGTGCAGTGCCTGGGGAGGAGGCAGCTAGAGCAGTCAGGTCGGGCTGGTCCTAGAGCCAGTGGTGGAGCAAGGCTGGTGTGTTCAGCGGGGTGGCCTTGCCGGGGGTGGCTTGTGACCAGCCCATTATGTCAGGGATACCCCCACCCCCATGCACAGCCCTAGGTTCCTCCTCACAGCCTGTGCCTCTTGCAGGTAGCAGTAGCCCAGAGGGCACAGGTAAGACGCTGACAGGGGCAGGCCTGGGGGGAGGGTGCTGGGTACAAAGCTGTGGGATGGGGGAGGATGAAGGGGTGGACTTGCCACAGCACAGCTCATGCTCCCTCTTGCCTTTCCCTGGCCAGGGTCCGAAGCGCACCTGGGCTCCTCGTTTCAGGCAGGTGAGTGCCAGTGGCTCAGCTCCCCCTGACCACCCCCAGCCATGCCTAGCCTGCCTCGAAGCCCCCTCCCTTCCTTCCTTCCCAGCTCTAGCTTGTCCCAGCCTCCTGCAGCCTCTCTTCCCTGGTCTTGAGCACCCCCCACCCCCTCTGCAGGCAGCTCCCCCCTGCACCCCAGGGGT